TGGCTGCCAGTCAGATTTAAATTTGCACTTGAGCAAAGCAGTCAAACAGAATCAACGACCTAGTCCTTTATGTCTTCCCATCCGTTGAATTCATTGCACAAGCTGGAAGCAGAGAGATACAGATTATCAGATGATTCTCAGATGATTATCATCTCGATTGTCATATGATTCTCAGATGGAATCAAATGATACACTGCAGATCTAGTCATTTTTCACCCCGGTTTTCGTGTGGCTGGTTTCCATCCAGGTGAAGAGCAGCGGCAGACCGTGCGATTCCAGGCACCTTTTGTGGTGCGAAAGGTTGCTGTGACTGCTGAAGCGATCTGAAGCGGTTCCAGTCGACTGGAGCTACTCCACATTTTGTGATATATGATGTATCCCTAAGGATCCATGTATGGAATATTTACCTACATTGACCCCTAAAGTAATTTAAAATAATCCCAATGTAGGTAAATATTCCATACATGGATCCTATGGGTATTAATTATGATGTTTTTTAATTCGGCATCCAGATTCGACTTCGGTGTTCGAGTGGAGATGACGTTGCGTGAGCGTTGCTCATGAATTTTCGTCTCACATACGACTTGTGGATCCCAACCATTCCTCGAAACTTGTCCAGTTGTCCAGGTTCAACCAGACTTCGAGAACTCTCCGGAGCGGGTTGTCAAGACGTCAAACTGAGACTTCTGGTAATTCCACTATGGAAAATCACATGTTCTAATAGGTAAATTATGGTAAATCATGTGTTTGAATGGACCACTTTCCATCGCTATATTAGATTACTATGTGCGTGTAGACTGGACAGATATTCCAGCCCTCTCTGAAGCTAGGAATACCTGTCAGGATGTGACTATTTCATATTACATCACAGCAGAAGTTCTAGGAGAGATTCCAACTGGCGGGAAATTCTGAACTGCAACTCTTCATCGGTCAATCCCCAAGCACGACAGGATAAGCGTTCAAAGTCATTTGGGTATGGTATGCAACACATGTGCTTCCAGATGCTGTGTGCCATGCGTGTCTTTTGAGACCGAGCCTGAATTTGATAATCTGCATCTATTCCAGATTCCAGATACTTTCTGAAGTTCTTTTGTGTTACATGTGTGTTTCATTCTTTTCAACCGCTCCAATAGAAGTGAACAGGAGATTGAATGGATTCCATGGATCAATCTTAAATCTTAAATGCCATGCATGACCCTTTTTTGAAGTTGCTTCCTTGTATGAAATGGCTAGCATGTACCAGTGGACCAGCACTCAGGAGTGGAGACTGGTTAAGAAAGGCCTGTCTCCAGATTGGGAAACTTGGCAAACTCGCTGCAGTTGCCAAGGAATGACAAAAAGGTGCCAAGGCAGATGCTTATTTCAAAGTGTGTTTTGTTCTTTTAAGATTGGAAGCTACATCGATTTAGTTTATTTAGGCGCAAGGCTGATCTCCATATTTTTAAACATGTGAAAACTAGCCTTAGTTGAAACATTTGGGTGTGTCTGAAAATAGTGTACCCCTAAACCCAATGGTTTTGCTGATCATTATCCCGTTTTTAAATGGCTATTTCATTGGGAAGATTAACCCTATTTTCGGACAAAGCCATTTGAAAACCTCAGACCATGGGAAACTCCTCAGAAACCGGCGTGACCAAATATCGCTCTGAGGAACCCAATACCAATTTCGAGACTGGGAGCTCAGGTGATTCGATTTTCAGGTCGCTGGAAATTTCGCACGCGAAGTCACCCGCATTGAAAATACGAATTGACTACCCTCTGGTAAACTGTTACATAACTATGGAAAATCACCATGCTATTAATGGGAAAATCCACTATAAATGGCCATTTTCAATAGCTATGTTAGTTTACCAGAGGGTATAATATGACACTAATAGTTTATATCATATATCCTTTTAGATCCTTTACTATGTAGCATGATATGATTTCCACTATCCTGAATGAAAAATTGTGTAGATGACGTGCTTCTGAAGTTTCCCAGAGATGTCCCTGAATTCTTCGATCGTTTCGTTGAAATTGTTGAAACAACATGTCAACTAACCAGTCCGCACGTCTCCTTTCAGAGTGCTGCGGAAGCGGAGTGGAGTCTCAACAAGGCAACACCAGTCGTTGCTATGCAGAAAAAAACAAGAATCACATATGTCTGGTGGACAATGTTGAACTATGTTGGCAGAAAAGCAACTAGAGTATCATGATCACTACACCAATTTCTTTCAAAACCATCCCCAATATTCGGCAAATGGCAATAATTCACCCAATCATGAAGTAGAAGAAAGAACAACAGTGGCTAGTGATTAGAGCAATGATTACTACACCCAATAGTAAGATAGAATAATGTGAGTAAATATAAGTAAATGATATGCCTCACTGAGCCTCACTGTGGTTTTAGAAAAGCCATCCACGGGCACCTCAGGTATTTGCAGGTTGCCATGGTACCGCAGTACCTAGACATGTGGAAGCAGGCCGGCCCGCAGAATGTGCATGCAGTTTCTGCTAAATGAATAGATTGTTTGATTCATATATTCATATATAAATAGGCATATATATATTATAGATGTAAAAAATACCTATATATATATTATACAGTATAATTGTGGTTGAATGTTTGTCATGTATACATATTGTATTTATTATTCATATCTATGGTGTCTATATGGTCCAGCATTCCAACCCCCCTCCCCCCCCCTGCCATGGTCATGGGTCAGCCATACTACTGTCCCCCTCCCCCCCCTGTGGTGTGGTGGGGGTGTGGTACTGTATGGATGGTAAGTATGGTATGTAAGCCTGTTGGGTATGGTATGTTTGATATGACAGTATGTATGGTCTGTATGGTACGTTTTTTGGTTACTATGATGGGTATGGAATGTTTGCTATGTAAGGTAGGTATGGTATGTATGGCATGTATGTTTGGTATTGTATGTATGGGAGGTGTGGTAATTATGTTTCATACGTATGGTATGTGTGGTATGCATGATAGGTATGATAGGTATGGTATGTATGGTCAAAGTTGGTATGTTTCATATGTATGGTATGTATGGTATCATTGGAATGTATGGTAGGCACGGTATATGTTAAACACATGTAGTGTTGTGAGGGTAGTAAATAGGAAGTAGATACATAGCACATGTATATATGACTATAGGTAGCACGTAGGTACTTTGAGGGAGTATGTGTGCTACGTGGGTCCTCTAAAAGGTAACATGTACCTAGTAAATGCGAGGGTGGTAGTCAGAAATGCTGCAAAGACCTAGCAAATACGAGGCTGGACCTCAGAAATACTGCCAATAGCTTGCAAATAGACGGGAAGGGGGTGCTACCTGCGGACCCATACCATTGGGGGGGGTTGGGGGGGGTAGGAACACGGAACACGAGACCATATATAATATATATATATATATCGATACACAGTAAGTAGACTTTTTTTACCAGATTTCAGGGATGTGGTTGGCTGCCAATTGCCACCATTGGATGATAGTTGCCACCCATTTATGATGCCATTTATGGTTGCTATCCCCAAATGGTGGCCATTATTTTTTATGGCGGGAATATTTAACCCATTTCCGATATCTATATTTGGGATTATTTGGGAATATCATGGGATATCCATTTATGATGATAGGGATGGTATATGGCATTGGGTTTACCACATCATTTTTTGGTTTTTGTAGTTGCATTTGATCAGGTCATCAAAGATTGCGGTATGGTTGGCGCCTCAGTGGGAGATAAACTGACGTACTGCCGTCAGTTTCCGGTTGTGTTCGAAGTTGACCTCAGTTGACCTCAGTCTTCCAAGTTGTTCCCTATATGTTATCATACTAGATAATGAATTAATATATTGATACATATATATATATATAGTATATATATATGTACACATAATTATACGGCAAATGCCTGGGCTTTGCCCGGACCCGCGATGACGACAGGGGACGCATCATCATCACCATCATCATCATCATCATTATCATCATCACCATCATTAGAATTAAACCCTTAATTGAAGATCTTCAATGAATGTAGAAGTGTAACGGGGGTGGGAGAATTAAACCTTTTTTGAAGATCTTCAATGAATGTAGAAGCTAACGGGGGTGGGAGAATTTAACCCTTATTGAAGATCTTCAATGAATGTAGAAGCTTAACGGGGGTGGGAGTTTAATATTTCCTAGTACCTTTGTTGTTTTTCCCATAGGAATTTAAGGTTTAACGGGGGTGGGAGTTTAATATTCCGTAGTACCTTTGTTGTTTTTCCCATAGGAATTTTGCGAAGTTGCATCAACATTTGTTTGGGAATGGGAAACCTCTACGCTGCAACGCCTGGGCTTTGCCCAGGCGTTGCACGTATATTATAGTATATATATATTTATTATACATTCCTTTGATTTCCCTAGACATATCGTATATCAATGTATATTATATGTTCATCATGTCATGTATCAACCATCGCAACTATCGAATGCTGTTAGTGCCTCGGTCATGTGCGGTCACGCAGACTCCACTGAGGATACCGTTCAAGAGTTTATTCGATTCTACCAGGGCAGCACCATGGACGGGATGCTGGGATACTGTTGACCCTAAGGTTTCGGAGAAAACATGGGAAACACATGGAAACACCACTTACTTACGCGCTTTTGGCTCTTATTATGGCTTTTCCCCAATGGTTTTGACACATGCTGATGCTTTTCTGGTGATTTTCAAACCGAGATGTGCTCAAAACGCGAAGTTGCATTAAACGATGACTGTTGGATCCATGATAGTGCCACTCCCTGTAAGCCCACCTTAAAGTTCAAGAAATGTGTTTCATTCGTCCTCTGCAGATTTTCACGTCATTCCAAAAGGTTTCAATTTTTTGGGGACAGGGCATTTGGGACTACGCACATCATCGTGCTCAAAGCTTCCGATTCTTGAAACCGCATGTCACTACCAGCAGCCATTTTTCTCATCCATTTTTGGTGGTCCCCAAGAAAATCCACCTTGTCCGGCGTCAGATGGCTGAGCCGCACCCGAACATCGACATCGCCCAAGATCATGAATTGTGGGCTGGGATCGGAATCAGTTGGTCTTCAACAAGTGACCATAGCAAGCAGATCAGCGAAGTCAGCGAGACCCATGTTGATATTTCCCGAACTCAGAGCTGTTTGAGTATGATCTTGCGGCCGCAGTTGTTGCGTGCGACACCTTTGCATGTGGCCTTAAGTGGCTGGTGCAAGCATTGGCAAATTGAGACTGAGGGGTGTGAAGTGTTCAAACTCAGTCGACCGGTCACGGCCATAGATGTATTCTTGAATCTTGGCATGGAAACATGGAAACCATGGAAACCCGGGGTGCATTGTGCATGTAGTGCACAGGAAAGCTGTCGGCTGATCCAGGGCATTCCAGGGCTATTAATACAGAGAAAGCCACCTGCAAAAAGTTCTTTTGACTGAATGTTATTGTTTTCTGTCCATGGTTCATTCCTTTACAGCCTTGAAGATCTTCAGATCGACCTGGTATTCTTGTTCTCTCAGTTTTGGGGACAGGCCTTTGTTACTCCTCGTTATGCGGTATGAGTATGAAACAACAACCGATGGAGTTTTGCGCACACACGCACATTTCATCATGCACACTATGTACCTAATAATATATATATATATACTGTATAACTAATAATATATATATATACTGTATAATACTATATGCCATACATTTGCGTAATAAACATATGTACTCAAAGTCTAAGTCTGTGTTTGGTGTATGAAGTCAACCAGAATATTTTCCCATTGACAAATATGGGGACAAATCCAGATAGTTATGAATTGGATTTGACACATATCCATTTCCAAATGTTAAATTCTGTGAATATGTGACTACATGTACGGCTCACCACTCGTGTCAGTTTACTCAGGAGCCATGATTGGAAGACGTCCCGGTGGATGAAGCTGCTGCTGTGAGCTCGTTGATCGTGAGCGTGGCACTTGGCTTCGCAAAGGTCTATTTGGGCGATCCGGAAGCGCTGGCGTTTCCCCTGAACTTGTGGCTTTTCTGCGGATGCTGAGTCAGAACTTCATTGAAGTGTTTAAGTTTCTTCATGTGTTCTCATTTGTTTGTTTGGCGTATGATCAGCTAAGACCAGGAATCTTGAGTTTTTGCAATTCATTGCTGTTGTTGAGATTCACAGGATATGTGGTATTTCTGGTCCAGTTCTGCTTTTGGCAGCGCATTCGGAGTTGCTTGTTGCACCCTGCATGGTTTTTCTGACGCAGCCAGACTTGAAACAAGAAGGAATCGCCGGCCTTGGAGCCTTTGTGAAATCCTCTGACAAACTCGTGGTCCTATGGTCTAGTCGGTATTTCACTCGTTTGTGCCTCAGCGAAAGAGATCCACAGGAGTGTTTTCTTTAATGTTTATTTTTCCGTGTTTCTGTGTTTTTTGCACCTGAACAGATGTGACACTTCCAACATATTTGCTACAAGGCACCCCTGGTTGAGGGCCCCAACGAAGACACCCTCCGCTTGGGTGACAACTAGCAGCTCCATGTTTTAAATTCTTGGCGCCTGGCGGCTGTGTTTGTTTTAAAAAAGCGCGCGCTGTTTCCAATTTCAGCTATAGCAGTATGTGTTTCCGCAACATGATAAACCATATCATATCTATGTTGTATATATATATAATATATATATATATATATATTATACACGTATTATACAATGGATAATACTTGTAAAATGATAATGATATATTAATTTATAAGCACAGCTTCTTTCCGGGCTTTTTGGTGCCGCAAAATAAACATGAGGTGGTTCGTCTATGAACTTGGATGCTTTCTGAAGCGCTCCAAGCCCTTAGAACTCAAGATTTTGCCCGTGAAGACCACTGCGATTCTTCTCTTGGCCCCTAGGACAGCACAGGAGCTGGTTGGTGGTGACCAGCGCATGCTCGTCAATGGGTTAAAACCAGCCATTGTTTATAGACGTGATCAGTTCAATTGGCTCCAACACACATATAGATATACATAATATATATATATATTATTATATTTTTTGAATATTATATATTATTTATTATATATTATTTATTCTATATTTTATATTATATAGTATATATATATTATATATTATATTATATTGTTTAGTTATTTTTTATTTCATATTTATTATACATTACATATATATATTATATACTATATTATATATATTACATTTTATTACATTGTACATATATACTATATTTTATATTATATATAGATATTATATATTACATATATATATTTATTATACAATACATATTGTATAATTTATTACACACACATATATATATATTACATATTTTATTGTGTATTACATTTATATTATATATTACATTCTATATTACATTTATAATTACATATTATATTATATTATATATTATATTATATATTAAATATTTACTTTCTTATATATTATATTTCATATTATATATATTTTATAATATATTTATATATATTATATTATATATTATATAATATATATAATATATATATATATTAATATATATATAATATTATATAATATATATAATATATAATATATAATATAATATCTATATATAATATATATATATTATATAATATATTTATATATATTATATATTATATATTTTTTAATTATATATTAAACATTATATATACCATATATTATATATAATATATATATTATACTTATTTTATTTTTTATTATACATATAGTATAATATATTATTTTTTCCCTGGGATATGAGGTAAGGATCTCATCACTTTGGTTTGTTCATGGGATGTTTGGAGTTCACCAGGTATCTAAGTCGCTGCCTGAATCATCGGAGCATCTACCAGTGAATTCTGTTGTGTCAGGTTCACAAGTGATTGGTAAAGCCGCGCAAAAACATCCCGGCAGGTGGGAAACCGCGCTAGCGGTTAAGCACTTTGTGAAAAAAAACTCTTCTGGCGCTGTGGCGCCGTACACATTTTTAGATCAACATTACCTTAATTTTTTCCGGGCAGAATTCAATGACTTTGAAGGAATGACGTGGTATTTACAGGGTTTTGTGCTTCGGGTAGGGTGTTCGCTTTTTACTTCTGCTCTGGATGTCTCACTTCTCCAAGCGTTTGCTTAGTGCGTGGCCGGTGAGACTGAGGAAGTCTGTGCAATTTCCATGGTGCCATCGTCATTGCCAAATTCTAATTCCTTGAAGCAACTGAGGGCTCACAGCACCACCTTTACGTGTGCTCCAAGAACTTGATACTGCACCTTTGGAAATTTTCCACATTCCATCGATACCACCGGTGTGCACAAGCAAGGTACCCCATTTCATTCTCTTCTTGATGCAAAAGATGCCCTTACTATGTATGCAAGTCGCATGAACGTTATTATCCCACCCCACCCCACCCAACCCCAGACCACTGACGTAGCAGCAGCGTAGCATCACGTGTGTACGCAAGTCGCATGAACGTTATTATCCCACCCCACCCCACCCAACCCCAACCACTGATGTAGCAGCAGCGTAGCATTACGTGTGTACGCAAGTCACATGAACGTTTTATCCCACCCCACCCCACCCAACCCCAACCACTGACGTAGCAGCAGCGTAGCATTACGTGTGTACGCAAGTCGCATGAACGTTATTATCCCACCCCACCCCACCCAACCCCAGACCACTGACGTAGCAGCAGCGTAGCATCACGTGTGTACGCAAGTCGCATGAACGTTATTATCCCACCCCACCCCACCCAACCCCAACCACTGATGTAGCAGCAGCGTAGCATTACGTGTGTACGCAAGTCACATGAACGTTTTTATCCCACCCAACCCCACCCAACCCCCATATGCATATTCATAAAGTAGCACGACTACACGCGCGGTTTTCCACCCGCTAGCAAACACATGATGTTGTTTGCCTCTTTGCGATTTAACGAACCATGCTACTTGCAGATTGTTTTTTATCCAAGCATTATTTTGGTGATTTGTTGTAAGGTTGGTTGTTTTGGTGGCACACTAGGCACTTCTTGATGTTGTCCTACTACTTGGCTCTTGAATTTTCCGGCGAGAAAGTCGAACAGAGAAACCCTTTGAGTTTCAGCCCTTGGAGGTTCATTGGCATCTCAGCTGGAATTGTGAGCCTCTCAATGATGCTGCTTCCGATTGTGAACTATTTCGGGATGAGCCTGTTGGATGACATCGAACAGCTGCCCACGCGAGTTCAAAATTTTCGGATGGAGGAATCTCAATGCACCTGCTGCAGCAACAATCACAAAGATCCGCAAACGGGCCTGAAAGTGATGTGTGACCGAGAATTGGTGTATCAGTCCCTCAAAGATATCTATCATGGCGGAGAAGGTGAAGGAGGTGAAGAACTTGAACAGTTCAACCAACTGGTTCGGAAGACTTTGGGACCAAAGGTTTTGTGGCGAGCTGGAGCACGTGCAACCTTCCTACCCTTGCGCTACGTGACGTGCATCGTGATGGTCAGCAACTTACCCTTGCTGTCTGACCTCATTTGGCATATCAGCCAAGGTCCTGAAACACCGCTGGTTGGTATGGAATTGTTTATTTGGTGCATGCATTTGATCTTGCAGTGGCTGCAGCCTTTGTCAGCCATGTTGTTTTCCATGGAATTTTCAATCCAGGGTCTGGGAGCTGGCTGTATCTTTTGCTTGGCCTTCTGCTGAACCTGATGAAAAACGAGTCAGGCCGTCAGGCCATCGTTGGACCCATGACTCTTTGGAAAATTCTCTTTCAATCTCTTTAATATACTGATTGGTGGTTTGGAACATGTTTTTTTTTCCATATATTGGGAATAATCATCCCAACTGACGAACTCATATTTTTCAGAGGGGTGGCTCAACCACCAATCAGTATTTTTTTTGAACATTTATTTTTGTTGATGTAGCTAGTTTTTCTAAAAGCGGCAGTGTGGTCGCCTAGAAGCCATCAAGAAATCATTGTTCAATGGCCGTAATGCCAGGTTTTCTTCGCTTTTCACAGACTTTTCACATCCTCAGGGGGCGACAGAGCAACTCACCGACCAAACTCTGAAAATGGATGTTAGTCACCTGCCAAAAGCCGGTTGACTTGTACAGATGATTTTTTTGAATCTGTTTTTGAAGTATTCTTCAGGAGGTTTCACTGGTCACAATCATGCTCTGAGCAAGGCAGTAGACTCAGTCTGACTGTCGATACCAAGTTTCACATTGATGTTCAAGCCCAGCTCCTACAAAAGTTCTGTGGTTCCAACACGGCCGGTTTGATGGTTTGATGGTTTGATACATAGACCTACTGTCATGCTATACAGACCTACTGTAATGCTTGTTAGTGAGGTAAAAGACCATAAAACGGGTGGGATCTTTGGACGGAGACGAGGACGAACACATTTGATCATGTTTCTATATCATACACATATATTGTATTAGATAGACAAGATACTATACTATATAACTAGACTATATATATTACTATACTTTACTAGACTATACTATCCGTATATATATATTATACATATTGATGGTTCTATGTCTGTCGTATTCATGCTGTAGATCATGAACAGACAGAGGGGCCAAGCGACTGGGGCGAATGTGCAGGAGCATCCAAAGTTGGACGGCGTGTGCGCATCCGCTCGATACGCGATACGTGGGAAGCACTTTTTTAAAACGGATCAGGATCAACAGATCAATAGCCATATGCGAAGCATGGTGCTGGTATATTTACCTACAAAACTGGTTGATTTTGGTCGGGCAAATGTTGGGATTCATATTCCAGCACCATGGTTCGCAGATGTGATATGATGATCATATGATTATAGTAATAGATTATCACATGAGTAACCCACAAAATGAGCGGAAGACTAAAGTAATAGGGAGTGGACTTGGGACGTTCAAATTTGTGTGAAAAGCTTCCCAACCGATAGGGGACCACCCACTTTGGCCATGTCCATTGCGAGTAGTAAATAATTTTGTCCGCCACTCATATGGTGGTTTCCATAAATGGGAGAACCCAAAAAAGTATGGTTTATAATGGAAAATCCAATTAAAATTGATGATTTAGGGATACCCCCATTTCAGGAAACCACCATATACAGTCAGTTACATTCATATCGATGGACAGAAACTGCATGATTCAAAGTTAAAGTGGTAAATGCTGCATGATTCGAATAGAGAGCGGCCAAGTTGTCCGTGGAACGCTGCATTGATTCAAAGGGTTCAGCCATAGACCATGGAATCACAATGCTCCATGTCTGCCAAATCCAATGTAGTTCTTGGTGACAGTCCTGCGGGGGGGAGGTTTTGGTGCTGGGACATACTTTTTTTCCCCGGCAACCCCGACCTTGTCATTTTGGATAGCAGGAATCCATATTGGGATGGATGAAAACCATTCAAAAAACCTCTGAAATTCTCATATCTTGGGGAAGAACTATCCATTCACCAGCTATTTTGGGGTACCATTTGGGTACCAGGCTTTTGACGAAAATCGACACGCGAGGTACATGCGCTCTGGACGAGGAACCCAACGCTGGCCGGACGGCAAGACGTACCAGGGAGCTTGGCCTTCCTGACCTACTTGGGGATCGTTGGAATCCGAGCCATCAAAATGGTGATGACTTGGGGATGGCGCAGATGGCGGTTAAAAAATTGGGTTCATTGAGTTTTATCATCTATCACTGTCTATCACTGTCTATCACTTCAAAATCGCATTGGGGTTTATAAAATTTTATAAACTCATTTTGGAGGATGATTTTTTACAATCCAGTTTTCAAGTTGGCCAATATTTTGGATGGTTTATTGTTGGCTTTGCGACTCATTAGTCAGCTCATGTCTTTGCACATATCAGCGCAAATCAAGCCTTCAGCAGGTGCACACACACACAGAAAACACTAAGGCATGAGCGCATTTCGACATTTATTGTATCAAAATTGGAGGTATAAATGGATGGATGGATAGATGAATGGATGGATAGATAGATGGAAAGGTTATCAAATTAGCTAAGATTAGATGAGATTGGATTTGAGTGGATTAAGTTGGACTAGTCCAGTGATTGGATTAGATTGCAGTGGATGATTCATCAAATGATATTGGATTGAATGAGATTAGGTTAAATTGGATTGGATTGGAGTATATTGGATTTCACCTGAACAAATTGAATTAGATTGAATTTCATTGGATTAGGCTGGATTCAGTGTATCTCTAATTATTTCAAGAAATGTTGCCGAAACAAATTGAGTGGCCAGAGTGTTTGGTCAGTAACACACGATCAAGAAGGAACAACGGAGCAGTTTGCCTTGGTTTTGTTTGTTTCTTCTCACTCCCCTTACGAGCGGTCACATTTTGTCGGACAAGGACAAATTGTTCCCGACCAGCTATAACACAAACGTTCTTCATTTTGTCGCAGCCAGGGACAACCATGTCTACGAGGGGGAAGGCATGCTGTACAATGACTATGAGGTCCGTGTTGCTGGCAGAAACGTGTGCCAGCCAACATGCCTATGCTGCCCATTCCTGCCCCTGCAAAGTGCGACATGTTAATTCAGGTTTTTGGGCCTCTTCCGACAGTGTTGAGTCTGATCATTCCTAGTACTAGTTGTTTACATTGGTCAACTGAAACCAGATGTGTGTTTTTTTTTGTGGTTTGAGTCATGACAAAGATGGCATCGGTTTTTCTGTGCCAGGATATGGCAAGTGAAGTGAAACCTATCTACACTGGCTCCTGGAAACGTGCCTGGACAAAGCGAACAGCAGTTTGCCAATGTTTCTGCACACATTGCGCGAAGTCGAGCCAACTGGAAGTAGCTAAGTTACACAATGTGGCCATTGATGGCATTTGATGGTCTTTGCCAAAGTTTGCTGAGAACAATCCATCTATTGCCGGGTTCGAATAGTGATTTGTCTGCCAAAAGTCTTTCTTCTTGCCCAGGTTTATCCCACATGTCAAGTTTCACGGTTGGGAGGGTATCTCTTCTAGCCTCCTAACCTCCCGGATTTCTGCTTGAAGCAGTTGTCACACCATCAGATAAAGAAGCTTACTTTACCAATAACTTCTGGGGATATGTGGTTCTGTGACTCAATAGGAAGTCTCTTTGTAGCCAACTTTTACCTGTGCTACTTGCAGCCATGCATATATAATCATAGGCCTGTTTCATTGCGTTGGGTTGAGTTGTGTTACGTGTCATGTGTGAAATGTGTTCTGTGATATTTTCCAGATTATGTGTAATGTATTTTTTTGATGTTTTAATGATATTGTATGTGATGATAATATAGATCAGAGATCTGTGGAAAAAACGAAACAAAACATGCCCTTCGAACCTAGTGAAAAAAAAAAACATTCGCCTGTCATCCCCTGCAGATGGCAAGCGACATGGCTTTGGAATCATGCGATGGGCTGCTTGACTGTCACCACTTCCGGAAAGTCGTTGGTGTCAACGGTTCGAGAGTTGACAATTGAGCCATTCAAAATACCATAGTTGATAGGTTATGAAATGGGGATTATAAGTTATTTGGTTATTGTGGAGATTATAATAAACCATAGAGATAACTATTGACCAACCAGTATACTTCCGTAAATGCTCTGCAGATTTGATGTTCAAGTCATTCCCAGCTGTGGCTGAGATCAACAAGAAAACCATTTTTGTTGCTAGATGCGTTGTGTTTTCTGTCACTGAAGCCCACATTCCACAGCTACAAAAATAAATGTTGGCAGCTTTGGTTTTTCCAATGAACAAACATAGCACAGTACTGAATAATTAATGTGAGATGCTGCAAATCTGTGGTTTTTCTCATTCTGTGTTGCCCAGGGCTTAGGAATGGCTTTAGAGTGTTTCGTGGAGTCCTTGTTTTGAATAATTTCCTGTTCAGTTTGGAGGGTGCAGTAAACTGCTTGATCTAAGGAGCAAGACAATTCCGACCGTGCGCGACGGGAAGCTCGGAGAGTGCTAGCAGGGCCTGGAGATTGAGATATCAGATGGATCCCTTGTGTATGGCATTCCAACAAACCCAGATAGTGAGAGGCTGAAACTTCAACTTTGGTCATTTTCGTCACTTTGGTCACTAGAAAAATCGCATAAAACGCAACATCATTTGTTTCACACACTTCTATCCCCGGGCCCACTGACTGAAGATAGAAGTAATTTTCAACCTGGGTGAAGATGGGCCCATCGTTGCTGGGCCATTCCTCCAAGGTAAGACCTTTGGCGATCGTCAGTTCTCGGGCGTCCGCAAGGCGCGTTTCGGATGAGAAAACGATGTGTGATCCCATCTATCTCTCCATTTATCCATCTACTGCTATCTATCTATTGTATTCTATTGGAATATTCCATCTATGTTCAACAAGGCATCCATTGTAATATTATATCATCTGATATCCTGATACAATCTAATATCACTCTTGAAAGGTATTTGATGATGACAACAAAGCGATTCAACACCAGTCCCATCCCCATCTATAAATGATCCGGAATATGTGTGCTTATCCCTTGCATCCACGGTGGTTTGGGGGCAGCCCTGTTTGCTGAAGACCTGATCATATGAACTTCTGTGCGATTCTTTCCCACTTTTCCAAAGCGATTGGCTTTGCTATCGCAAACCTTGCATTTCCGTAGGATAGGAAGTTTGCTGATTGGCAAGCATCAAAATTCAAGAGGCCCTCAATTTGCTAATGATTTACCCTCTGGTTATGACTAACAGTTCGCCATGGTATAGATGGCCCATAGAAATAGATGCTTTACCTATTAAAAATGGTGATTTTCCATGGTTTACCTATTAAAAATGGTGGATCTTTCCATGGCTATGTTAGTCATAACCAGATGGTACTTTGAGTTGTTGCATCCGGTTCCTTGGCCACAGATGTTTCGCAAAGTTGAACTTAAGTAATCCCATCCCCCATCATCCTAATTTAATCACTCATAAACCATGGCTTAGTAGTGGAATTTCACATATTATATGATTATTATATGATAATAATATATGATAATATATGATGATATATGATTTGTATCTATATATATATACACATATATCATACATATATATATATATAATGTAGCGACTGGCTTCATGAGCGCCGTCTTGCGCCAGATCTACGAGGGTGAATTCATGTACGACCTCTTCCATGGTGAAGGAAAGATGTTTGGAACCCAGCCGTTGCGCCTTATTCACGTTGCGCGTTCAACGGTGGAAACAGCACGGCGTGGGTATGTTGAAACGCGCCTCCTTAAGGCGCCTGGAGAAAGCTGT